GACATAGTGGGAGCTTTCGATAGAACCTCATTTGATATAATCAAACAGGTCACTGGAAAGCATGCCATAGAGCCTGCAATATGCAGGTGGATCAATGCTATGCTGGAAAGCAGAACCTTAGCTGCTACATTATCAGGAGAAACCCTGGGGGCGTCCACATCTAGGGGTTGTCTGCAGGGGGGTGTACTCTCACATCTGCTGTGGGGCCTGGTCGTTGACGATCTCCTGTGGGGACTTAATGATGATGGGTATTATACAGTAGGATATGCCGATGACATAGCAATCCTCATAAATGGAAAATTCCTTTCGACCATATTGGAGCATCTTCAAACAGCTCTGTACATGGTCCAAAGATGGTGTGAAAGAACAAGTCTTTCCATCAATCCCAATAAGATGGTAATTATACCGTTTACTAGGAAGAGAAATATAAAGGGCCTTAAGGAACCGACCCTCTTCAATAAGACAATCCAGCTCTCCAGCGATGTCAAGTACCTTGGTCTAGAATTAGCCAAAGGACTGACATGGCAAAAGCAGTTGGACAAGGTCGTTAACAAAGCCTATAAGGCTTTTTTGGACACGCAGAAGCAGATCTGGTAAAATTTTCAACACATGAACGTATACACTTTTTTTGTTTGGAATGACCAATATCATGATCTCTCAGAATATTAACCCTTCCTCCTGGAACACTCTGTATATAAATTATACCCCTCAAAAACCTGGTGCTTACCTATGTCTCTTTGCTGAAGACACATGTATATACGAGGGTCGTACTGACAGTCATGAGCAACAATTTTTTGTAAAATAACATGCTTTATTATTGAGAAACCAAGTACACCACCTCAATCTAGAGACATTTCTTTATTTTTCCACATAATCGCCACTTCTTTGTACATATTTCTCCCAGCATTCTTGGAGTTTGAAAATTCCCCTTCAGTAAAATTCTGTTCCAACCATCCGAAGACACTGACGCACTGCTTTCTGAATTGCCTCCCTTGTCTCAAAACGTTGTCCACACAGCTGATCCTTCACAAATCGGAAAAGATCATAGTCGGAGGGTGCCAGATCAGGGCAATTGCTTTCAATGTGACCTTTGTGGTCTTCGGTCAATAACCGCAGGACCCAACGAGCACAAACGTTCCTATAGCCCAAGCTTTCAATCATCTCCTGTACTGCACTGTGCTCTATTCAGTTTTCAGGATATTGTGTCCACAGGCACACACCTGTCATCTTCAATTATCTCATCCACTCTTGCCTTGTTGTGTTCAGTTGAGGCTGTTCGAGGACGACCGCTCCGAGGCTCATCTTCAATGCTGGTGTTCCCATCTTTAAAATATTTCACCCATCTTCGAACACTGCTTGCACCCATGCACACTTCCATAAGCATGCTAAGTCTCTGGTGAATTTCTGCAGCAGGGATTTCCTCTTTCACAAGAAATTCGATGACAGCATGCTGGCGAAACGACATATCACTGTCAGCCATTTTGTTAGGAGTGATACTGGTCATGTGATGCAAGCTACTGACATCACAAGACACTCAAGGTTAACACAACAGCTGGTTCCACCTACAACCCTACTCTCTTTCGTTCCCAGGTTGCATGCAAAAAAAAAATTAATCATGACTTTCGGTATGACCTATACGTACATCAGGAAATTCTGACACTGTCAACAACTCTCATAACAAATATATGAACAAACATGAAGAGAATGTCATTCTGGGTTTTAACATTGTGCAGCTCTGAATAAAGTCTGGCATTTCAGAGGAACAAACTTCCTTCATCTTCAGGGTCAAAGATTAAGCCTAGCAAGAAATCAATAAAAGAAGTCAGCAAGCAGAATCTCTGCTCCTCCAAACTACACAGCATGAAAAGCCAGAAAACCATGGGAATCTAAATTCCATCATATGGACAAACAGTTATAATTCCCCACAATCAGATTTTATGATGGAATAAGAGTCTATCAAATTCTGTAAATTAATAGCAAGGCTTGTTTAAAGTGGAACATTTCTGAAGGATTTCTTCTCCAAATATATGATTCGTGCAGGAACTTATTTAGAGAATTAGAAATCTTACCTCTGGTATCTCAGTACATACTATCTGTTATGCTCTTTGTGATAAAAAACAGAAACAAATTCATAGTAAATTCAGAGATTCATAGAATAAATACCAGACAGCAAAATACTCTCCATCAGCCTCTTGTAAATTTGAGTAAATGCTAAAAGGGAGTTTATTGTTTTGGAACAAAGGTCTATAATAATCTACCACAACATATTAAGGATATATCGAGTGACACTAAGAGTTCTGAGGTACAATTAAAACAATTTTTATATATACATTCTTTTTATTCTTTACAGGAATATTTTGGTTATAAATCTTTTTAAGATGCGAGTAGCTGTCCTGCTTTACAATTAAAAGAAGACAAGATTGCCAGTGTGTGTTCTGGCTTTTAGATGCTTATTTTAGATATACACAATCTTTATATCACTATATACTAGTCTTTATTTCAATTTACTATATAATTAATGTATGTTATACAAAACTCATTAATGACATTGTGTTTTAACTACTGAATTTTTAATTAATAGACTTCTATAAAACTGTGTATAGCACACAGAGATATTGGGTTTCCCGACTTTATCCATCCTCCTGGTTTTAAGATAACTAAGAAATACATGACGTTTCAGAAACTGGATCTGTTTCCTTCCTCAGGTGAGGGAAAACACCTATTCTGCTGGGTCCCTTATAAAGAGATAGCCTCCATCACTGGCCAACCGATTGCACAAACACAAAGCTTACAAATACCTGAGACCAGACCAAGTCCATGAGAGCTAATAAGAAAAATATACATTACAAATTGTTCCAAACATGTACAAGCGTGGAACCAGGGTAGGTAGAGCCGTAGAAATTTATGTCACGAAACCAAACAAATAACCAGGTCCACGAACCCACGGCATGGAATAGAAAGGAGAACTAGAACTCTTTCTAAGGGACCCAACAGAATAGGTGTTTTCCCTCACCTGAGGATGAAAACAGATCCAGTTTCCCAAACGTCATGTTTTTCTTAGTTATCTTAAAAGCAGGACGATGGATAAAGTCTGAAAACCCAATATCTTTGTATTGACAGGATGTATGGAAGGTGAATAAATGAAATATAAAATATCCTCTACAAACTATTTTCCATTCAACAGCATCTGTTACTGAATATAAAATATACTGAAAAACTGGATCACAAATTCCATAGAGCCAACAAAATGTACAACTGTTCATAAATACCGAATACTTTTCACTTATTATCCTGAAGGTAAAATAATGAATAATACAGTAATGAATGCGAAATGTTTCCAAAAATATTTTATTGCATTATTTCTTACATTCCAAAAAATCTGGATTTGTAAGTATTCTGGTATACAGGCTGAAAAATGCGCCAATGTTAACAATTCTAATGTCTCTTAGGATTCTGAAAAAAAAAATATATCATTCTTGAGAACCTCATTATTGCCTGCCAGCCTGTCCTCTAACTGAGCTATGGACAGGGCTTGAGGTGGGGCGGGATGTGGCAGGAAGGCATCCCGGTTCTTTTCTAAATGGCTTAAAAGCATCCCGTTACTTCTTTGGCAGTAAATGCAATGTACAATACCTTTTTTGGGAAAACCATCCTGGTTCTATTTTCATTCCACCTCAAGCACTGGCTATGGACATCACTATTTGGGAGATGATGTAACAAAGACAGGAGAAAAACACCTGAGGATAGTCCTCTTTGCCTAATATTATTAGGGTTAACCTTTTAAAGCACAGTGATACTTATGCATCACCTGCTTTAGCATTCAGAAACTCTCCCTAACAAAGTGGATTTGTGTGTTCCATAGAGTTCTCAGACTAAGGAGAATTTTGTTTTTTCACAGCATCAACTGGATTGTCTTTGTAATAAAGACATCACATAATTTCTCTGGTTGAAGATGAGTTCTTAAATATATTTTTAGCTTCAGGCTTCAATGGATTAAATTCAAGATGGTATGAATAAAAAATATAGCATACAAGGAGAAATGGAGAATTGCATACAAACTCTTGGTCTAAAAATCTTAACTGAAAACAACACTTTGAAGACTTAGGTGCAGATGGGAAGTTCATACTAAAAATGGGTAGTGAATAAATACTGTGTGGATTCAACTAGCTCATGAGAGAGTCTGGTAAAAGGTAAAAAGGTAAAGCTATCCCTGTAAGAGGCCGTGAAGGCCCATAGGGTTGTGAGACGTTGAGGCTCCCACATTTTTATAGACAATCAGCTCGCAGATGGCAGTGAGGATGTCAGCCTTATGTGCCGGCTGCCCTTTATGCCAGGAAGATCCCTGGTACTCATTTCTGTTAGAAGCTGAATCAACTTTAGGGAAATAGTGGGGCTGGAAGGATTAGGTAAATTGAAAAATCCAATGACCTCAACAGGAATCAAACCCACGACCTTCTGGCTTGTAGCACAGTGTCTCAACCAACTACGCTACTGCATTCCCCAAAGGAGTCTGGTGGGCTTTTGTANGGGTTGTACTTCATTCTTCATTCTCTGCTCAACGGTATGTTCTTTATTTAGTCTGTTTGACCGTGTCTCACTGTGTTGTCGCTTGCAGATTTACTTATACTTTTTCTTCAACCCTGAAGATGGGGGCGATACGTTCCTCCGAAACGTCGGTTAACACCACATATACACGGTGCCAAATCCCAGAAGACTGCTTTCTTCATGGTAATGAACGTTCAGGGATAACAGAACTTGACTAAAAGCATGATGATGAACCCACTGCTCATACGAGTACATTCACCTGGAATATCTGATACGGGAAATGTTCAAATTAATAGCTATTCTTATCTGTATATTTTCCAGCATTAACAATACTCCAATGACAAAGAACATTAAAACAAAGATAATCTCTTACTACATCAGTAAGTGACTCACAGTTACTATGTACAAAAACCCAGAAAGTTAATGACAAACAATATAACTACTACGGCTCTTACCTGGCTCCAAATATATCTTTCTTTGCTAGTTCATGACCTGCTATAACTCTCAATCTCAGTGCACTTGTTGTTTCATCCATCTGTAAGACAAATATAAAATGTCAACAGTGGGTTCAGAGATTTACAGCACTAACAATTACCAAACAAAGTTCCCTGTATGAATAAAGCAAACAACATTCATCTCTTTCATGTTATGCTACTAAGTAGTACCTTATTCAGCCAATACCTATTTTTGAAACTCAGCTTCTAAATACCAATATGGCAGTCAGATGATAGAGAAAATTTCTGTGGCAACTCTTTCAAAAACACATTACACTGAGGAAGGTCAGTTATGTCAACAACAGAAGACAGATGCTGCTACCAAATTAATATTTGGCTTCCGATGACTAAAAACCAACTGATAAACCAGTATAAATAGGTACATAAAATGAATTATAGTGGGACATTAACACATGCTTGTGGGACTGATAGAGACAGAAGGTCAGTACTTTGTGAACTACTTTTAAACGAGTGTTTGTATTCATTGAAGATACTGTGATGAAAATAATATGCTCTGATGTGACAAATCCCAAACTGTCTGACCATGCTAACAGACACAATCATGACTAATTGGATGTTACTATCCCCATATATCCATTGAAACCACCTTAAACAACATGGAGTATCTGTGTGCAGTACTATGTCCTTCATTAGCGTTTTATGTTTTGACACTTCTGAGAGGGCAACAAGTGGCAAGTCCCACTTGCAAGTGACATACAGTCTGTGGTACCTGACCTACAATTACATGCCACCAACTTTGAAGACCTGTACCTCATACATGATGGAGCACCCATACATATTTAAACACTATTCACTTTTGTAATTGAGACTTTCCTCCATAGAATAACTGAAGACTGAGTGGCCCACCATGATCTCCAGATCTCACACTGATGGGATTTCTTCCTGAGGAGTATAATTATAAATAAGTTATTTGCAAAGAAGCCTATGAACAGACTCAAGTCTGGGAGTGCAATGAGGAGGCATTTCAAAATCTTGATGATGACAAAAAACCACCTCTGTGATCTAGTGGTCAGAGTTCCTGGCTACAGATCCAGAGGTCTGGGTTCAATTCCTGGAGCTACCAGATTTTCTGAGAAGTAGTGGGTCTGGAACAGAGTCCACTCAGCCTCGTGAGGATAACTGAGGAGCTATTTCAAGGAAATAGCGGCTCCGGTCTAGAAAACCGAAATTAACGGCCGTGGCGATTCATTGCGCTGGCCATGTGACACCCTCTACCCCCCAAAGTTGGCACTAACTTCGCCGTCAAGCGGTGGTAGCTCGGTCGGTATAGTTCGATTGCGGACTAAAACCACGGAGTTTCTTTTGTTTTTGTTGATGATGAGAAAGAGTCTCGTAAAAAGTCAGACAGCGTGTAACTATGCGTAAACGCTAAATGTGCACACTTTGACAAAACCTTATATAAAAATAATACAACAGCTAATTTTTCAATTAAGACTATTATTCCAGTTTAATAATTACAATTAACAACACTGTATTTAATAATGACTTAATACTGTAACGTGTTTTGCTACTGATGATGCCTTTCGGATTGTTAATTGGTTTATTTAACAACCTACAAATCGTAACTACAATTAATTATAACACAGTTGCGGGTTCACCCAATTTATAAACCCTATACAATGTAGCGTAGTTGGTTAAGGCACTATGCTGCAAGGCAGAAGGTCGCGGGTTCAAGTTCCGATGAGGTCACTGGATTTTTTCAATTGACCTAATCCTTCCAGCCACATTATGGCCCTGGGGTTGACTCAGCCTCTAACAGAAATGGGGAGTAAAGCGCGGCCGGCGCGTAAGGCTGACAACCTTACCGCCATCTGTGAGCCGATTGTTTAGATAATGTAGGACCCTCAACGTCTCACAACCCTATGGGCTTTCACGGCCTGTTACAGGGATAGCTTTACTTTTACTTTTTTTACACAATAATCTATTCATTCTATCTTCAATAGTATTTACTTATTCACAGTACAATACGGGAGCTACACCAGTGACACTGTATTACACACTCCCAATACCTTCTCACACTATCGCCTCTAATCACACGTTCACTCGCTACAACTGAACTCGGTGACTGCTACAATTCAACTGACTGGTTACTCCCTCTCACTAGTAACTCTTATAAACTCTCAGTCGGACAGTGGACAACCCACATCGTTTCACTGTTGCGTGTTTACAAGCGTTGCTGGGGAACGCTGCCAAGAGTGCGTGCTATCAGCCCCGTTGAGCCAACGAGGTCGGCCCTCGGTACCTTGATGCTTCATCTACCAGAGGCATTGGAAACTACTTGGGCGGGAAACTTGCCTAGAGACATGAGGATCTTTTATGTGCCGTAAATCTACGACACGGGACACACGGCTTAAAGTCCCTCCCGGAGGACTTGTTCCCTGAATTTTTCCGCCCTTAAAAATTCCACGACCTCCGCCGGGTTTGAACCCGCGTACCTTGAGTCATGAGGTGGGAACGTTACCCTTAGACTACGGAGGCCGCTTAGAGAAATGTAAAGTTTATGGGTAATTTTTGTCATTTTTATGTTTAAGGTAATTTTTTTCATTTTGGGGGTAATTTTTTGGTAAATTCTTGGACTTCTAAGGGTATTTCTTGTCATTGTTGGCCATTTTAGGTAATTTTTCTTAATATGTTTTCTGAAATGTGAATAACATGGGAGCGAAGTGTTCTTTCTTTTCTCCTTTAGGTGATTTCTGGATTTTTTCGGTCATTTTTTAAATATCTTCAGGTCACCAAAGTCCGGGCCCTGGTTATTGTGGTATCTCACGATTCTGTTATGCATTATGCTGACAAGACATGAACAACATACAACGTTTAATTTGCATTCACTTCTACTTCTTACAGAGCTTCTCTCTTTCTCCTTATGATGTCATGTACCGGGAAAACGCAGTTAACAGTGGGCCGTTGCCTGGGAATGCCATAAGCAACAAACACGTTTCCCCGGAGATGAAAGGCAACAATGACAACGGAGAAACCGAACTGTGAAGAACGGTGTTCTGTAAGCAGTCCGCATAAGGCCTACTTAAGGGAGTTGAATATAAAATTAGCCTCCACACGACAACAAGACTTAATGACTGACGGTCCGTCAGTCGCAATGTGACTCTGACTTTGATATTAGCAGCAGCCCCGTGTGGAAGAGGGGTCAAATACCTCCACTGTGACCCTGCGAGTCGTAGGAGACGAAGAAAAGGGAAGTCTCGTATCTGAGACAGTAAAATATGGTCGCGAGTCCTAAGGTACTCAGATCCGTGAAAGACTGCGCTGGTGAGGGCCAGCAGCATACACAAAAGACAGACTCGTCCTCTCGTCAGAGAGGGCGCTCCACAAAAACAATACCGTAACTGTCAATCAATAATAAATATCTGGTCCCAAGCCCCAGATGGGTGGTTTATGCCAAGCCAAACTAGCCGACTGACCGTCGGTCGTAACATAAGACTCGACTCGACATTAGCAGCATTAGCAGTCGTCGAGATGCGTATAATTAGTTGAGTTCTAGCAATCGCCGAGAAGAGTGGAAGTTGGCAGTAAAAGTGATAATAACTGTACTCACAAGTGTAAAAGTGAGCGTTCAATAAACGAATAATCCGAAACCTGTGTGAATTCACTTGTCGCGTTCCATAGGCAACACGCGGCACTCATGTCAGAAGTGGAATCTGGAGGACTGGAAAGCCGTCATCCTCTCATGTCACGTGTTGCCTATGTAACGCGACAAATGAATTCACGCACGCTTCGGATTATTCGTTTATTGAACGCTCACTTTTACACTTGTGAGTACAATTATTATCACTTTTACTGCAAACTTCCACTGTTCTCGGCGACTGCTAGAACTCAACTAGCTATATCTCGAAGACTGCTAATGCTGCTAACGCTTCTCGTCTGAGTCCGAGTCTCATTTTACGACCGACGGTCAATCGGCCAGTCTGTCTTGGCATAAAGCACCCATTTGGGGCTTGAGACGAGATCTTTATTACTGTTTGACAGTTACGGCATTGTTTTTTTTTGGGGGGGGGCTCTCTGACGAGAGAACTGGTCTGTCGTTTTGTAATATGCTGCTGGTCCTTGCCAGCGCAGTCTTTCTCGGGTCCGAGTCCCTTAGTACAGAACACCGTTCTCAACAGTTCGGTTTTGCCGTTGTCATCCAACGAACCCTCTGTTGTCTTTCATCTCCGGAGAAACGTGTTTGTTGCTTAAGGCATTCCCAGCCAGCGGCCCACTGTTATTGCGTTTTCCCGGCAGTTGACAATACCTATGTTTTTCTATGTAGGCCAGAAGACGATGTGTTCTTAACTTGTAGGGGATCTGACCTTTGTAACTTCTTGTGAGACAACACATTAAAATGTAAGTATATGAATAGTGACATTTGAAATCAGCACATAACCTCCAATAGTGCTCGTAAATTACAGAAGGTGATGCGGCAGAATTCTGATTACAAGGCATGAACACTGTTTTAACTCCATTTACTTCTATATGAACTTTCTCACTATCATTTCACGGGGCTTCTGTGTGTTCAGACTGCATCTGATATATCAATATTTATTATTTCAAAAGTAACTGACTATGAACTGATTGCCAAAATCCGATTCTCATCAGGGGCAGGAATTTTTCCTCTTTTTCATCATATTCAGACTAATTCTAGAATCAACTCAGCCTTCTACCCAACAGGTACCACAGCCTATTTCCCTATGGATGATGTGGCTGCAGCATAAATGACCTTCACTTGGAGCCAAAGTTAAGAATGTGCAGTTTATCTCTGCTCCTTCCTGTGCCTTCACAGTGCAGTACTTAAGTACAGACTTCACCTTCATCACTCTTCTCTATCCATAACATACCATGACATGATGGAACATTTTAACAAGGGAAGTCATCTGCTGCTAGGCAATGGCTCAGTAAACACATATTACAACACTGGATACAGATACAACAACAGACGAATTGTTGAAGAATATAAACACAACAGTCACTAGAGAAATTACTGTGACGTATTTGCGCTATGCGGGACATCCCCCCCCCCTTTCCAGCAGTGACGTAACAGCTTCAGAGCAACTGCCGCTACTACAGTAACAGGCCAGCAAACACTCTGCCCCCCGCGGTGACGTAACAGCACTTCTCACTGTGATGTAACGGGGGACACCATGATTACTATGCAGCAATAAATAACTCTCGGCAGCGTTCCCCAGCAACGCCTGTAAACACGACGTTTACTCAACAGTGGTAGCTATCATGTAACTGTCTTCTGTGTTGTCAGTGCAGAAGCTACATAACAGGAGAATTACCAGAGTAACCAATCACCCCCGTGTGGAGGCGGGGTCGAATACCTCCACCGTGACCCTGCGAGTCGTAGGAGGCGACGAAAAGGGAAGCCTCATACCTGAGACAGTAAAATATGGTCGCGAGTCCCAAGGGACTCCTACCCGAGAAAGATCGCTCTGGCAATGGCCAGCAGCATATGCACAAGACAGACCCGTCCTCTCGTCAGAGAGGGCGCCCCACGAAAATAAAACCGTAACTGTCAAACGGTAAAATTAATATCTGGTCATGAGCCCCAGATGGGGCTCGACACCAAGACTTACTGACTGACTGACCGTCAGTCGCAATGTGACTTTGACTTTGACTTGAGTAACCAATCAGTTGCAGTCTAGCATTTGCCGGAGTGAATGGAAGCAGGAGAAGTAATTGTGATGCTGCAAATGGCAGTAGTGCTGTAATTGTGAATTGTGTAATTGTAAGAGCGAGTGAAATAAATTCCCTATATTCAATACGGCGTAAAGTTATTTGTCGCGTTACATACCCAACACATGATAATTTGGCGTCAGAATTGGTTTTCTATGTGGTCCATACTGAGGCTATATAACTAGGGCCCTCCATGTCCACTATGTTCCTGGGGGGTATATATGGGAACCTAGCCCTCCAGGTTGGGGGGTCCCGAATCTGAGACAGGAAAATATGGACATGGGTCCTGCAGGACTTGGACCTGAGAATGACTGTGCTAGTGAAGGCCAGCTGCAATTGAAAACAACAGGCCAGTCCTCTCTCGTCAGAGAGGGCATTCCATGTGAACAAACCCTCAACAATCTGACATTAACAAATATCTAGTCTTGGGCCCCAGATGTGGCTTGACTCCAAGACAGATTTGCCAACAGACTATCTATCGGTCACAACATAACTTTGACTCTGTGTCCATTCAAGTCACACCCATCAGACAGGGAGTGACCAGTAGAATTCAGATCCCTCCTCTTGTCAAAAATGAGGCCCAATTTCAAAACATGTAAAAGTCTTGGAAACAACAAACATATGGTCATGGGTACTGATGAGACCCGAAACCAAGACTGTGCTGGTGAGGCCCAGCAGCAATTTACCCATCAACTGATCAACATGCATTTTTCCAAACTGACCATACAAACCTTATGGATATTATACATGCATTTTGCTTATTTCACCATACTGCTGAGAATGTTGTAACTGAAAAATTACTGGTGCTCCTCACAGTTACTACTGTGACAGCCCCAAATCAAATAATTAATTCTCACAGAGTATCACACGATTTTGAAATATACAGCTGAAATAACCATACACAGGGCCATTTGTAATGTGTGCCAATAAAAAAACCTTTGTAAAAACCTTTGCACCAACACGTAAATGACTAATCACGAACCAAAACCCAAACACTTGTATCCAAACATAACACAAGAGAACAATACATGTTAGTTTTTCCTTAAGGTCCTGTAAAGGAATTTCTTTAAATTAATGGTGGAATTCAGCATTAATTTATGGAATTCTTATTAGAGAGTACTGACAGCACACAGCAGATATAAGAAGTGCAAAAACCATCTGAAACTGAATTTTCATCATACAATATCACAAAAATAAACTACTGGATTATGTATTATCTTCTGAAGTTTACTCCTCATCTCAATTAATATAAGGTATAGACAAAACCTACTTGTCCCAACTTTTGTAGACAGAGGGTGTCATGTGGTCAGCGCAACAGATCCCCATGGTTGTTAATCTCAGTGTTCTAGACTGGAGCCACTATTTCCTTGAAACAGCTCCTCAATTATCCTCACAAGGCTGAGTCGAACCCATTCCAGACCCACTACTTCTCAGAAAATCTGGCAGCGCTGGGAATCGAACCCAGGGCCTCTGGATCTGGAGCCAGCAACTCCAACCACTAGACAACTTTGCACTAACTTCACCAACAAGTGGTGGTCACTTTGCCGGTATAATTCACTTGTGGACTACAGGCAATGGAGTTTTTTTAATAGACAAAGCCTTAGAAGATTTTCTACATCATTTATTTCTAAACAAAAAAATGTCCTTCACACAGCTGTTGTTTAAATTTTAGTATGAACTTCTACCCACATTTCTGAGACCAAAATGGTTTCATCAGTAATCTTTTGGAAAAGCCTGGTCTAACCTGATAAACTGTAAGAAAAGAGAACATTCACAAAATATAAGGCCATGTCTTAAACCATTCTAGTCTACGGTATGTACTGTGTTCGCTCGCTCGGAAGCCGGGATCGTGGGTTCGAATCCCACTCAGGGAATGGATGTTCAGTGTTTGTTTGTTTGTTTGTTTGTTTGTGTCTGTGTGTGCATGCACATGCGTTTTTGTGTTTGTGTACAGGTAGAGGCCTTGTGACAAGCTCATCACCCACCCAAGGAGTTCTACTGAATGTCTAAAATCTAGTAAACTGAAGTGAAATGGAGAGTTTCATGGAGGAAGGCCAAGGCCCAAATTGGGGCTGTAGTGCCAAAGGGAAAGAAAACATTCAAGACAAATAGACCATAATCTTACTTCCAAGAACTGTAATTTTATTCAGGTTGATAAAATGTATGCAAAATGGCTTAAACGCTATCACATAGATTTAGATTCTTCCGTTGTGATGACTGGAACTCAATGTTCAAATATTTAACAATTCATTTAATAATTATGCCTAAGTTTATATTCCACTTTTCTGTTTCCAGTATGACTGCTAAATTAGTAATATTACCAGTGTCACTGTACGGCATAAAACATGTGAACTGAAAACTTTGGGAAACCCCACAAGGTGTTCTAAAATTTGGTTATTCTCATATGCATCATTCTTACGTCTCCAACAATTACGTTTGATAAATATGTGTAAACTAACAGCAAATGTCTCACCAATGATATATTTTAAATTTGTATTATGAGTAAACTTTCGGTATTAACATGCATTCATGTAATTTGTAAAACATTTAACATAAAAGGTGAGAGGAAATAGGAGCCGACAAAAAGTTTATACATTATTGTTGCACTTCTGGATTCCGACTTCAACCCTAGTTCTCACCCAGTAATTAATGCTACAAGTACCTGCAAGGTATAATACACTAACTACATTAACTTCTCATAGCAGACGTTAAAACACTTACATGTTCAATTCCAACCGATGGCATATAACCGTATTCATTTCTTCCAGCCATCAGTTTACTCTGAATATCGTCACACGGCATTTATATCATTCTAAATTCAACAGTTTCCCTTTGTCGTTTACAAGGGAAAAGGATGAAACTACTTGCAAGGAACTGTGCACAAACACAAGCTGACCACCATTTCGTAACGCAATAAGTCAATTCAGTGTCTCAAAACTTCCACAACAAGTTTTGCCACTTCCTACATTTCACCTGACAAATTTAAAGTCTGTAACATCCTGTACATAGTCCAGCACTTTATATCGCACTTTGTTTTCTAAATATTCCCCGTACTCGTATGTCGTCATATCTGACTTGTCAATCTAGCTGTCATATGACGTCATATCCTACTGAATGCTCCCAAAGTCGAGCAATCCAAAGCATCCAAGGACACTAATGGGCCAATTCTTTGAGATCTCTTTATTTAAACGGCATGACAAATTGTTCAAAGCACTTCCGGCACAGTATAGGACCTTACCGCTGTTCACAATTACACACTACTTCATTCCGAAAATTAATTCAACAGCCATATTCCGTTTACAAAAATTTGTCCCACAAATAAATACAACAAAATACATGAACACTCGGCTTATCGTGAAATATGGTTGCTAAAAGTAAATTATAAAACAGTGAATATACATAATTATTTTATTTACCGTTTCTAGAGGTCCATAAAGCGACCTTCTATGAGTCTGAGGTATAGTAACCAAACTCGATCTCCGTCTACTCGACCAAGAATGTCGTCTCCGTGGGGGTGGCTCTGGGGCCCCTGTAGTTATCTGCAGCGCACTTGCCATCCTCCAAATTACTGCCGCTGTGCAACTTTTCTGTAAGCTGCCAAACTACATCTTTCGCAATAAACCATTTCACGACACTCTTCTCATCATTACCCACCACTTCGCTACACTGTGACCATGTGACACTACCTCAAGGTCGCGTGCCATTCGATTCCTGTCACTGATAAATAAAATCTCGCTTCATGCGAGGATTGTAGTAAATAACAAGACTTCAGTGGTATACGGTGCCGTACGCGAAGTTCGCATAGTCGTTTCGATCGATCCTAGTGATACAGTGGCAATTGACTGGGATCTGAGCTCTGTAACAGAACCCACAGAATTTCTGGGTAGGCATCCTATTGTACTGTCCCTACGCTTTTGATACAATGCGGTTCACACATAAAAAAAACCAATGCATTAATGGATATGTTTGTATTACAACATACCTTCCGCTCAAAAATTATTGTAATTTGTGGATACCATCTCCGCTTCTTCTGAACCATGAAAAATATAAATGTATTTCAACATTATTCAAGCCAACATCCTACAAGTACATCATACTTGTTCACCCGTTTACTTGAGGCATTGATCACGTAACAATTTAAGATCTAATAGTAGTAATTTTAATGGTGTGTGCAATGTGGAAAGTTTACCCACCAGAAACAAATGTAGATATAGATATCTGCTACATGTCAATAAAATGACTCAAGTAAAACTATAAACCATTCTGCTCATAAGTCAAGTATACAAATATAAACAAATATGTTCATAAAATGGGTCTGGTAACAACTTGAGCACTAAGCCATATAACAGCCATCAAACTGGATAGCTTCCTAGAGTTGAAACAGTCCTTTCGAAAATTCACTCATCTTACAATTCTCTTTTATGAAACCTCATAATTCATTATCACAACAGGCCATCACAGGTTCCTATCCTAAGCCACAACTTCTCAAACTAGTTCTTTACAATCCATTTTAATACTGTCATCCCATAAAATATCAAAAGCAATTACAAAAATAGGATGGGCTGTCCAACATCTGGTGTGAATTATACATTGCTTTTATCTTGACAGAAATTATTTGTATGGTTCTCTCAAGTTTGTTCTATGGGAGCAATTTCTTAAGACTGATTTTGAAAGCAGTAATCAGTTCATTGGGCCCTATGACCTGATATGGTTTCATGCCATCTCTAATCTTCCTTCACTTTTCATCCCCCTAGACTTGCTTATGCTGTAAACTGCTAGGCAAGATTGCTTTCCATTCTTCCTACATGACTCCAGTCAGATCAGAAATGTACATATTTGATGACTAATCTTTTATTCTTTCATTTATGTACTACCAGAGTGCAGTATTCAAAAATTTTATTTTTAATCAAACAAAAACTCTTTTCATAATTTACCAGGCTTCATGTCCACAAGTGAACATATGGATGCCAAGTGCAAAAAAAAATATTTTCATGTGACCTTGTAGTTAATGGAATGTGACTTAAATTTACACTGAAGTTCATAAAAATACATATTTATCTCACGAACCACAAATCTTGATTTAGTATTGAACTGTGGGAAGTAATTACAAATTCAGTCATGATGAAAGAATACTCTACAAATTTCTTTATGACTGACATGCAAATGTAGGCATGATTTGAAAACCACAGTAAAAAATACAACACAATGACAGATGAACGTAATACCATTCTCATGAACAAGGGTGGCCATGAGCATGCATCAATAGTATGATCAGGACTTCATATTATATGCAGTATGAATTATTTCTGTAGCCAGTAAAGTTTTCCCTGTACTTAATTACATAAGCACTATGCCATGAAGACATATGAGGGAATGATGGAGGTAACACATTTTACTTCAGATGAATGATGCATAAATGACTTTGCTCTTGTAGTATCACCTGCACTTACACCTTAAAGTGTTATTCTTCCTCATCAGATCACATATTATTTCTCATTGATTTATTAGCCAGTTGCATAAAATACAAATAAAAGGTCCCTGTATTGTATTAGCACACACAATATTTATGGCGGGACATGTGACTAGAAAATAAAACTTTTAAGAGTACTACCTTCTGGGATATAAGCTGAGGAAGAAACTAGGCTTCAGGCAGAGCTCATCTTGCCACCTGCTTTCACACTGGTTTCTTGCTCAGTTCATTCTTTGACTCTGAAAATGGAGGTGATATGTAAAATGTAAAGGTATCCCTGTAACAGGCTGTGAAGGCCCACAGGGTTGTGAGATATTGAGGTTCCCACATTTTATAGACAATTGGCTCATAGATGGCAGCAAGATTGTCAGTCCTACGCACCGGCCGTCCCCCCTCTGAAACATTGGTTAAATTTCAATGGACTACACAAGGCCACACCATAGCTCAGGCAGTCAGTCACTGACTTCCCACCACGGTGACCCGGGTTTGAGCCCAGGTCTGTTCATGTGGGATCTGTGGTGGACAAAGTGGCGCTGAGGCAGATTTTCTCCAAGTACTTCGGTTTCCTCTGCCAAACTTCATTCCACCATTGCTCCACAATCACCATCATCTATCATCCGGGGTTGGTACAATAGGCCAGTAGTGGCTGCAGTATTAAATGGACTCAATCTCACCCCACTAAGTAGTAGAATGGGCTAAACAGCATTATATCCCAGAAGATAGTACCCTCCATAACTACTACTGTGATAACCTCAAATCCTTCAAAATGAACTTTATTTTCAGCAAATCCACAATACTTCATCTCTCGCCTAGTATCGTGGAACAAAACCTAAAAAATGTAAAAGCCTGTTTTGATGAATATACGTGGGGCAATCCAAAAGTTTCAGAAATTTGGCGCGCGAATGGTTATGAGTACATCAAAATACCGCTAGGTGTCTCCTCACACATCCTTCTTGAATCAGTGTGGCAAGCAGCATCGAGTTAAGTGGTTGGGTTTATTGTTGGTGAACATATTTGCATTGTTGTTTCCGTGAGTTTGCGGTTTTGCGATGGCTGACCTGAGAGAGCAGCGTATCTGTATAAAGTTTTGTTTCAAACTTGGGAAAACCACTGAAGAAACGAACCAAATGTTGAAGCAAGCTTTTGGTGAAAACAGTTTAGGCCAGACACAAACTTACGACTGGTATAAGCGTTTTAAAAATGTCCGAACATTGACTGATGATGACGATCGTTCGGGATGGCCGTCAACGGGCAAAACACCAGAAAATGTCGCAAAAGTTAAGGATCTGTTTCTGCAAGATCGTAAACTGACCATCCAAGACCTCTAACACCTTGGAACTAAGTTAAGGTACATGTCAACGAATTTTGTCAGAGGAACTGAACATGAGGATTGCGGCGAAGTTAACAGAAGGAGCATCGCTTGAAAGTCTACAGGGAACTTCAGCAACAGCTTCAAGAAGATCCAAACTTTCTTTCGAAGGTTGTCTCTGGTGACGAAAGTTGGGTTTACGGCTACGACCCTGAAAGCAAGCAGCAATCATCGCAATGGAAGAGCCCTTCTTCACCTCGGCCAAAAAAAGCTCGACAAGTCAAGAGCAACATCAAGTTGATCTGTTTTTTTTTATATTGACGGGATTGTTCATAAGGAGTTCATCCCTCCTGGTCAGACAGTCGATAAAGAGTTCTATTGCAATGTTCTAAGGCGTTTGAGGGAGAACATGAGGAGAAAACGTCCAGAGAAGTGGCACACGAACGACTGGGTACTCCACCATGACAACACACGACCGCATACGGGTTACATTGTGCAGGAATTTTTGCCTAAAAACAAGATGGCAGTTGTTCCCCACCCACCGTACTCACCAGACTTAGCTCCATGCGACTTCTTCCTCTTCGCCAAGATGAAAATCAAGTTGAAGGGGCGAAGATTTGATACAGTTGAGGAAATTCAAGCAGAAACGCAGACGGTACTAAACACCCTAACAAAGAAAGACTTCCAGGATGCATTTGAAAAGTGGCAGAAACGCTGGGATCGGTGTATGTGCTCCAAAGGGGACTACTTTGAAGGTGATGGTGTAGAATAAGATCTAGGTCAGATGTAATAGTTTTTATTAATATATTTCGGGAACTTTTGGATTGCACCACATAGTTTTGTACCAGAGAATTTATCTTCTGGGATATAATTCTGAATAGTCAAATGCCTCAGAAGACCGCATCACTTTCATCTCATGGGTCAAAAACATAAGCCAAGCAAGAAACCAGCACAGTAAACCATGTGTGGATAGGACTTCTCATCTTCTCTGTGAAAGACTAAATGGAGCCTCTCTCGTGGGTCCTCCATTGGACCAAGTAGACCCAGACACACTGCTGGCATCAGGGCCGAGACTGTGCCCTTTCTGGGCACCGATCAACCTTCAAGCCTTTCCTTCCTTTCCTGGTTTCCTGTCTGCCATATCCTGCTATTCTTATCCTGTGCTGTATGCCTACCACACACAGTTCCTCCTTTGTGTTCCCATGTTTGCAAGTTGCAAAAGTGACTTTTTTCAGAGCCCAGAGTACTGTTCTCTTGCCTCCTAGTGCTTCACTGTGTTTCTCAGGGAGTCAATAGCACACTTGTTGGCTTGCATGTTCCTGCCAAACCTATATAAATCTTGTCCTTTCCAAGCACTGTTTGTTCTTGTTGCTTGTTTCATGCTAGTTTCTTGCTTAGCTTACTCTTCAGCCCTAAAGACTGAGGCATTTACATTCCTTCAAAATGTTGATTGACTTTCACCAGGCTATACAGCCTTATATCCTAGACATAACTGTGAGAACCTCAAATCCAACACACTGTAGAACACATTGCTTCAGCCTTGGCAAATACACCCAGTATTCCAGGCAAAAGTGCATGCTTTCAAG